GAGGGGTGACTCTGGAGGGCTTTGGTTACGTAGAGAATACAAAGTGTCAAGAAAAAGGAGGATGGAGAGGTCACTCCATCCAACGAGCTGTGTTTCACTGTCACAGGGTGACAGGTGAGAGAACCCAAGAGTTAAGAAGGGGTGTAACACAGATAAAGGATAACATGTCACTGAGGGGTTGTATTCTAAAAAAACAATGTAAGGTCAGTAGCTTCGCTCAAAGAACCACTTCCTCAATAACAAGATGGAGGATGATCTTACAATTTCGTTTTTTTTAAGCTGCAAAAGTTCAAGAATAGTGTTTTTGCAAGTTTTTTGCTTTTCCATGTGTGTAAAATGCACAATTTCCTGTGCACCACAAGATATTTCCCAGGCCAAAGGCGTGATAGGTAATACACAGCACTGTGGCTACCATTAAACTCACTTAGTTACTAAGCTTAGGTGCAATTTACAGTTTACAGGGAATGCTGGAATTGCATAAACACAATGATAACATCAACCTTTTGACACCAATTGACTTAATCAGTCAGAGTTCTAACTGTGTCAACGAAGATATCATAACAATATACTGCTTACTTTTTCCAGTGAAAGCCGTAAGGATACACACCCATATAGCTATCATATGAAACTCTTGCCTAATCATCATGTGTAGGTGTTTTCTTCAGAATTAAAACAATCCAAGTGACTGGTATCTGTACATCCAGTTACAGTGAAAACATGAACTGCAAACAACTTGTTCAGCATGACCTTCCATGGTACAGATTTACCGAAATGTGAAGACATATAGGCTAACAAAAACCGGGCTCAGCTATAGCTTAAGTTCTTAGTAAGATCAGAGTGAAATGTGTTTTTATTCTTATTGTATCACAGCTAATGGACTCCATGACAACATCAAACAACATATTTATATCAACCAAAGTGCCATCAGCATAGTTCTTACATCCCTGCAACAATGACACTCTCTACATGAACAGAGATATGTTTAGTATGTTAAAGAGCTGTCTGACATACAGACAATAAACCCAAACAAATTGTGTTTTTTAATAAAACATGCCAAATGATGGCATTTCTGAGTACCTTAACTTATTATGAAATTGCTAAGACATGCAGTGACTGTGCCATATGCTTATGAATAAAATGATTAAAAAACAAGCAAAATAGCTACAACCAAGCTTTAGCTTTAAGAGCATACAAGATAAAAGGAACATACTACAAGTAATATATGACACCTTGAATGGGGATGAGGAGTATAAAAGACATAGTGAGGTGTCCTCTGACTAACTGCTCCTGTCCTCCGGGCACATGAGGTGTCGAGAGAACAAAGGTCAAGGCTATCTGTCAGGCTTGGGTGAAACTTATTCCCCCTTTCTCAAGCCGTATTCACACATGCACTGCTACCCTGAACTGTTGAATGCAAATGTCCGAATCAGTTGGATTGGACATTAAACGGCTTTCCCCTGCCAGCTCCCTAGTACAAAGTCTATGTAATGTCCAATTGAGCCCATGTGTGAATACAGCAGGTCATTGTTTACTTGCCTGTATATTTCTTTCTGCTCTTTTGTTGATATTGCCATGGGAAGATCTAGAGGGGTAGCACAGGGTGGCCACCCTAATTTTGAAAATAATGTTAAAATATGGACATTAACACACATCATTTAATGATCTATTATGGCCAGAAGTTCCTAAGTTCAATGAAAAAATGCATGTATTTTGGAAGGATTTGGAACTAAAGCTATTGATTTCTATTTGCCTCCTCTAGACATTTCTATTCAATGCTTTACTAATGTGCCACAATAATGGAATGCCACCCACTGGCCACCCCATGAATATTTCTCTAGATCTGCCACTGGACATTGCGGGTATGTGACATATATTGATATCAACACAAAATCATTAGGGATCAGTCCTCTTCCTGCATGCTCTACCAGGCACCACCCCTCGCCTAAACCAAACCGAATATTTCCAGTATATATGAGAACGCATCTGAAAACTGCTTCAGTCAGCGATTACTCTGGTAGGTGCATTTGGTTAGAAACTGCAATTACAAGGGATCATTCACACATTGCCAGACCAATATTTACATTGTAATTATGTCATTGAAATAGTTCCAAAACTGATGACTGACACTGAGTACATGACAAACGAAACGGGTGTACTGTTGAAAAAGAGAGACTAAATATGTTTTCATGTAGAATAGGACCAGGATGCACAACCTGTAAACACAGTAGGCACATCAGCCACACAAACACAAACACTGGCTTTCTCACAGTCCTGGAAACCAACCTTACCTGGTTATCCAGTCTTAGCACTAGGCCTGCAGTTACTGTATCTCTATCTATCTCATCTACACACACACACACACACACACACACACACACACACACACACACTGTTATTTCTCTTGGAAATAATCCAAAATCAGCTCATCTCATTTTACAAGCTGTGACAAACTTACAAAACAACAGCATTGAAAGGTAACAGGCTTCTGTTACTGTTATGTGTGTGTGTGTGTGTGTGTGTTGCCTGTTTGTGATAACCTGTCTGTTGGGGGGTATGTGGTTTCCAGTGGGGATGAGCTCCCGTACGGAAACCAATGAGTCCCATCTGTCCTGAGGGGCCTGAGGCGTTAAACCAGAGAAAGGTTCCAGCCAACAGTTAGCTGTTGTGCCTCTGGGAAGGATTAATGAGGTTGCACCAGCCTGAGGCACATATCACAACTGCTATATCAGATGTAAATAATGTGTACATTTTGGTCCTTTACCTTTACCTGTATTTTTGTTTATGGTGTCTCCTTTTGATAAAACAGACACACAACTCAACAGATATAAATAAAAAATGTCTTTTAGAGGCTTTTCTAATGGTTTTTATTGTTTGCCAAATATGCATGCTGTTGTAGCTTCAGCCTTTAATGCTAATTTTTAAAACAGTATTATTAGAATTGTTTTATTTGTTTTTTGTCACTTGGGGGTGGAGGGATAACTTGTACACACAACATGGACATCTTAACACTAAAAACAAGTGACTAACGTAGACACACAGTCGCATATCTGACTACTCAACAAAAATTCACTCTCCGTTTAGCTCTGGTTTCTTCTTCTCTACTTTGGAGAAAACCAGCTCTTTAGCTGCTACATGCTCACCAGCTTACTTTGTCTGCTGGGCGTGCCGCACACACAGGGTTTATAAAGTGATTTTTGGACACCTTTTACATTACACAGTTATTTGATCCAGTGATAATATAAAAATATTGGCACGGCGGCATGGCTCAGGAGGTAGAGCGGTCGTGTACTAATCAGAAGGTTCCAGTGATAGTGTGGAAGTGTGCTTGAGCAAGACACTGAAACCGCTCCTGATGAGCCGGTTGGCACCTTGCCAAAAGTCTATGAATGTGTGTGTGAAAGGGTGAATGTTGGTCTGTCTTGTAAAGAGTGGGTGAGTTTGAGTGGTTGGTGGACTACATCGGTGCTAAATGCATTTACTATATGTGCAGCTTTAAATTTCATTCATTTCATTTAGTAACTTTTCCATACATTCATTTCATTTACTATAGTCTCTGTATTATTGTTCTGCATTTCTAAACATGCTATTACAAAATGATTCAAATTTACTGTAAATTGGTGTGCATGTTTAAAAACTTTGTATTAACACAGATAATACTTTCTCATAGACCTGACCCTCTGACCCTGTCATTGATGACCAGACATGAACTTTGTTACTGGACTATTTTGAAACCTACTGAATGTTCAATGACAATGCATTTGGATCTGTGTGTCATACCACATGCTTATTTTGGAAAACTGTCAATCAAGCTCTTCCACATAACATTGGATAGATTTGTGATTAATCATATTCCAAAGCCATTCATTTTGACAGTTCTGACAACATGACATCCAGCTCAGTCTACTGTAAAGCCTATTCATCTATTTCTTCAACCTACATGGCATGTTCGTGATAGAGCCTATCCCATGCATTGAGTCACCGGTCACAAGCTAACATGCCAATGAACACGGTCACACTCACATTTATGCCTACAGGCATTGTTGAAGGAAACCTTCCCTCTTTAAACATTACAAACCAATGAGTCATACTGCTGCCCTCACACACAGCATATCTAAATCTACGATCAGCTGTTAATATGTTCCAAGACCTGGATTCACTTCCAGGTTCAAGACTTTTCTTTCTTTTATAAAGATTAAAACAGAAACAAAATAAAATTCCTCTCAGTATGGTTTGGTGTAAATACTTGATATATACTTGATATAAGTTGATTGATATAAGTGTAAAACTACTTAATTTTTTTGTATTTCAATAAGTATGTAAGAAGCAAGCTGTTAAAGAAAAAGCTAAGTGTAAATCCATCTGAGAAGCTTTCAAGACAGGACGAAATCTGGCTTGATGTGAAAAAGATGGAGACCCTTCCCAAGTACTGTGTCAGGGAGCAGTCTGTGGAAGAAGCCTCTAGAGGGTCTGTCCCCTGTCATAATGGCAGTTGGCACTGAAATTACAATTAAATTAGCCGTTGATCTCCATGACCCCTGGCACTAGTCCATAAAGGCATTTCCTCCACAAGTCTGTGCTGAGTAGTTTTAACTGACAAGTCCACAAGTTACCAAACTGCTTCAGGTGCATTACAACCTGATAAACACATAGCGTGGGAAAACAAAGATGGATGGCACATTTGTAATCTGGCTAAAAGAGACACATAAGCGTAAATGAAAGTGTATTAATGTGATCTGGATTTCATATGGATGCAACACTTGAAATAAGACTTGATAAAGACTTGATTAGACTGCTGCCTAAGGCGATGGGACATTACAAAGTCATTACAACAGGCTGCTCACCTTATGCTTGTGTCTCTGCTGTGTCTCTGCTGTATCCTTGTCCTTTCTTTCCATGAGATTTTGATAGGTGGTCTGTCGTGTCAGTCATTCAATTTCACAAAATGAGGGGCTGTCACAGATAGATGCACTCAAACAAAAGGGATAAAATAGGCCCACCTCTTTCATACAGAATTCAGTCCATACCCTATGACTGTGATTTATTTCAGCTTATTGAGACACGACTGATTTGTACAATTTCATCATGTTCAATATCTCATCTAGTAAGAAAAGTCATGGGTTATTCTTTCTTTAGAAATATTGATCTCCACCAATATTCAACTCCTGGCATTACTCATAATAAAAAGTGAGATGCGCGCGATAACGAGACGATTGTCGTTCATAGAGCAAGTATTTGTTTTATTTTCCCTTCGCTCCCAGTTCTTTTGAAGGAGGTGTATATTTCAGCAATGAATATGACAGAGTGAGGGAGGTATGGGCATTTGCCAAAATACTGTCACATTGCTGTCATAATTGCAAAAACACAGCAATGTTCAGCATGCCAAGGTGAATCACTTTTAATGGCAGAGCTTTTTTTCCTTTTGTCTATCGTCCTTTTTTGCTTAGCTTGCACCACCCAGGAGTTCGGTACAGCAAAGTGTTACTGCTGTGCATTGTACATTATGCTGTCAGGACTCAATAAGTGAGAACAGTTAATAACATTTTAATTGATTTATGTGTTCTACCTCATTTGCATTACTTGGAACTGTCACCCATCCTACAGGTTTGTACCTTTGATATCACTACCACTTGCTGTCTGTTGTGCTGTACCTTGTGTGTGTGTGTGTGTGTGTGTGTGTGTGTGTGTGTGTGTGTGTGTGTGTGTGTGTCAGCCTGCCATGGCACTGCAGACTTAACTTAATGTGTTTGTCCAATGGTTGTGCACACTGTCATCTTCCCCGTTCCATCAGTACTAATGGCTTAATTGGCTGTTGATTTTTCTCTTCATGTGGTTGCAGCAAGCGACGCTATCAGCAAACCGCAGGCGCCATTTCTGGGTCCAACCAATAGAATGAAAGAAAACAAATTGAAACAACTGCCAAACTGCTTTCTGGCTAAATGTGTGGTCTGTTAATGAAGCGGTTGTGACGTACTGGACTGGTGGCTGTTGCTGTTTGTATGTGGGTGTGTGAAATAGAGGCATAGGGTTCCTTCAGGATTTCCAGTCCCAACAGTATTATGTTAGTATATGTCATTGACACATATAGTTACAACATGGTCATGAGTCCAAACATTCTTTGGTTCCAGTTTCCTGCATGAGAGAATTTTTCTCAATTTCATATGATTTTAAATTGAATATGTTTTGACTTTTTGAAAGTTGGTTAGACAAGTTAACAAACAACAGTGGGCATTTTTCTTCATTTTCAGACATTTCATATCCAATCCAATCCGTACTTATTTGTTAAGTACTTTAAAAACAACCAAAGTTGACCAAAGTGCTGTACAGGAGAATAAATAAGACATCATAAATGTAAACAGTAATGATGATGATGAAGACCACTGTGAAGAACAAAGACAGTGATGGCGACAACACTGGAAAGCCACCGTGGCAGACAACATGGACGAAGTCCGACTGCGACGAGCTCGATGTCCGGGCTGCAGATGCTCTTTCACAGAGACGTGCCTGGGGTTACACCACCTGTTGTTTATGAGCACGGCAAGTCCCCCTCCTTTCTTCATGCCGGTCGCGGTGGTGTCCCTGTCGGCTCGAACCGCCTGGAAGCCGGGCATGGTGACGTTGGAGTCCGGTATCTGCTCGTGTAGCCACGTTTGTTTCCAGTGATGACTGCAGGGATGTAGAGTTTAAACCTCCTCTTCTTCATCCTCCGTTTAACCCCCTCTCTGCAGCCTCGCCGTCTCCTCCTCGGCTCCTCCGGTATAGAGGCTCTCTCTCCAGTCAGGATGCTCGGGTACCTCAGGGCAATCATCTGGTCGCGGGTGTAAACAATGCGACTCGCCGTCACCATGGAGACCCGTGCAAACAAAAAATGAAAAGTGCTCAAAAACGCCAAAAAAGTATTTAGGCGACGTGAACAAAGTAGTAAGAAAGTAAGAAAACAGTTAAACACAGGCTAAAAACACACTAAAACTACAACAATGATAGGCGCTGCCATGACAGGCTGCCATTCCATTCATAGATAATCATTATTTCCAATTCCGTTTTTTGTTTTAACTTAAAGTTTTGTATATGTATATAAATAATTGAATCCAATAAATTAAAGCTTTTACATTTGCTGTTCTAAACAACCTACTATGCAAAGCACTTCACACAACAAATTGGCAGAAATACATCTCACTTTTGATGCTGATGTTGATGATTTGTTTTTATGGACATCAGCATATGTGCATCCACACAGTGCAATGAGGATCTGATGAATCCATCTTTCTGTGGTAAATTGTTGGTAAGTTAACCGGTCAATTCTGGCAATAAACAATAAACAATAAACAATATTCAGAGGCAGATCTGCTCTGGATGCAGAAACTTATTGGCTGTTTTAAACCTCAATGGTTGGAGCCAAATAATAACTGTATTAGTGTATATACTATACGCACTTTCTTCTTTTTGAGTGTCCAAATTGCTTATTTTATTTCATTTTGTAGCATGCATTAATGATACATAACAGTTTAGTCATGTGTTGGCTTTATTTTCATACTGTTACTGGTGCATGTTCATTTTGTGTTATAGTGCCAAAAGACAGAGTTTACAACAAACCTTATCAAGCCATGCCTTCATCTTCAGAATTGATTAGTTATATACCATTGTTTCATCCAGGACATCACATGCAAGTATGCCAATGAACACACAGCAATACTTCATTTTAACCACAACATGCCAAGCTGTTGATTAAATAGCAAGTTTGTGTTTAACCATAGCAATTAGACTTGTCAAAGCAGATACTTTTTAGTCACTCCCCATTTCAATCAATCAAATCAACTCAAGTATAAAATATTCTGTAATGGAGCACACCAAACATTTGGCAAAGCCCTGGTCAAACAAAACCCATTCTAGTCTGACTGTGAGAATCAGAGGGAAAGTTGTGCATAGTGTATTTGCAGGTACAGGAGAGCCAGGAGGAGATTGGAAGATGGAAAGATAGCAAACCCTCTGCCTTTTTGTTGTTTGAATGCAAAACTAAGAGTTTATGTGGGCCTTTATGTTTATATAGGTGAAAATATCTTGTGATACTAAATTAGCATTATCACTATCTTTCCAAGAAAGGTCTGTAGAAAGATGGCAACGTGTTGCATGCTACATAACCAAATTGTGTAAGCACAAGTTGTGGCAAGCTGACTCCAAAGTATTTTCTGCTTCGTCTGAACCAGAAGAAGTATCGACTTAACAACATGAAGGTTGGAGACAAAGAGCAGAAAGAAACTGAAACAAAATAAATGAAAGTCAGACTTTGGGAACCATGTGACCAAGTAATGCAGGGAACATTTTTACAAGTGCAAAGTAGACTCAAACTCAGGTTTGAGTTTGACTAATCTGTGGTGGACAGTCTGGACAGAGGAGAGGGCTACGTGAGATAACGCCTTCACTCTAACGGAAATGCAAGAGGCCAGAGTCTGATAAGAGCTTAAAGAACTGTCCAGCCTGCATGTACTATATGGATGAGGCGATAACACAGACTAACACACAAGAATTCTTAAAAAAAAACATGACAGAGCTTCATGTGCTGATGAACAGAAACCTTCTAACCTATAGGATCTGCATGAATCATTGAGTCCCAGTCTTGTGTGGATAATTATTTGCTCTATTTTACTATTGAATATTTATGCAATATTTACAGATATAGGGTTGTAACCAGTGAAAGATAAAACTATTAAGTGAGCATAGAAATACTGGTCTCCACATAGACTAAACCTACTACTACAACCAAAACAACAAAAATTAAATAAAATAAAATAATGAAGAAGAGAAAGTAAATGAATTAAAGTTTTGCACAGATCTGTCATGTTTGGAAATAATGGCATGTCAGCCATCATTCAACAAGTCTCTTTCCCAACTGGTAAAGTAAAAACATTTCTACTGTGGGACTTTACACTTAATTACTTCCCATTTACTTAGAACTCCATCCATAGCATAGTTTGAACTCACACACACACACATATGAACACTGACTTTAACCACCGAATGACCCAGAATCTGGGTATAATACTATATATAATAAATCATTCGATGTCAAAAATATGCCAGTCCATGGCAAGCAATGAAACTGTAAGAAAAGAGGTAAAAATCTGTCTGTAAATGTGTGTGTGTGTGTGTGTGTGTGTGTGTGTGTGTGTGTGTGTGTGTGTGTGTGTGTGTGTGTGTGTGTGTGTGTGTGTGTGTGTGTGTGTGTGTGTGTGTATTCCTGTGAGGATGTCAGAGTGTGTGCAGCCATGTGATAGCATATATATATCAGGTTTGTTTTGGGTGCTCTGCTTGTTGAAACAGACTATTAAAGGTTGGAGACAGACTTAGTCAAACAACAGTTATCTGAAGTGGACCCCATTAGCCCTCTAAATGTGACAGGAGAACAGGGTGAGTATTTAACAAAGTCAGCGAGCACATATGATGACAAATTAGGGGTGAGAAAACTTGTCAACCTGATTTGAAAAGCCAAAAGATGAATGTTAGTCAGCTAAGCCCCCGGCTAAACATCCAAAGACCACCTCAGGGTTTTCAGAGGGGTTTACACAGCAGAGGGGAATTAACCTGTCTGTGTTAAACTCTGTGGGAAATAACATCATTAGCTACATATAATGACAAATTAAGACTAAAATGTTAGCTTTCCTGAGAAAGACAAACTGATAAATGGACTCAGATACTCAGAGATGAGTCCACAAAGTAAATCTCCCTTTCATCGTCAGTGGTGCAGCTACATGGTTTTCTCTTGATGACAGTGCAGATAAAAGTCTTAGTTGTCTACTTCCTTAAGAGAGAGCAGGGCATGCCTAGAAGGAAAAATGTTTTTACCTTTTAGCAGTATTGTTAAGTGCATAAGTGCATCAATGATTCATTTAACAAATAATGCTGTGTTGTGAACAACCATAAACACATTTACCTTACATATATTGGGACAATACATCAAACAAACTCAGCTCATTAGAAGCAAACTGAGGCCTTCAGCCAGCAGCTGGTCCTCTTCTGTCAATGGCCACCAGCTCCCTTTGCACCTCATATACAGTAGAGTAGTAGAGTATCTACTACTGAGGTAGGTACAGGCAGATTGCCAAATAAAGTAAAACCCGAACAAATGAGTGGAGACATGCAGTTTCCCACTTGCTACCACCATAATGAGTGAGGGAAGAATGGTGTTCTCTCTAGTAGATGCTTTGAATATTTGTGGAGACTTAAAACAATTTACTTTGTTTTAAGTTTTTCCCTTTCATTTGTCAGCCATCTATATCATACATACAGAATATTATGATAACAAATTCATGTGACCACCATTGACCATAGGTGTTGTCCAAAAACTGATCTTTGGGATGAAAAGAGTAATGATAATCACTTGTTAGTTTGGAATATGCTGCAATAGTGAAAGTTAGTTTTGGTAACATTTGTGCACATTTAAACTGGTGTGTCCCTAAATGCGTGTTTCTGATGCGTAGATATCCTGGGTTTAAGTGTGTGCAATGTGTGTGTGTGTGTGTGTGTGTGTGATTGCATGTCTAGCTGGATCACTGCTTGTGAGAAGCTAACACTGGCTCTTTTTCTCTTTGAGGGAGGCCCTGCGGCTGTTCAGGGCCTAAATCTCATAATGGCTTCAATAACAGCCCCATATCTTCGTGACAGCTATTTCAAAGGCCTGGCGGGTTTAATGTACTGTACACCACAATTCACACTGACAGCACAACACAGACAATAGAAAATAGATTATAAACACCTTACCTCAGCAAAAAAAAAAAGGCAGGATGGAAATGGGATCGTAAACTGATTGGCAGTTTGGCACGATATGCCATAAAAAGTGTTTTCATAAGGACAGGCTCTACAGCACAGCTCACTGCTGTAGTTAAAGCTGGCATAACTTGTTAATAGCTTGTTTACAGTATGATATGACAGCCCAATGAAAGTGAATTTTTTAAGATCAAGGGGGAAATACTAAGGTGTGGATTTCACTGAAGGATCACATTAACAGCGTTAAACTAGTACTCCAGCACAACTTCACTATGTTACTGAGATACTGCTCTTTAATGGTGTCTTATAAAGCAGCAGAAAAAACACTTATGTCATGGAATGACAGCCAGATTCAAGGGGAACTGCACCAATTTTACACTTAAAAAAAGGTTTGCAGGTCTTGGGCATTGCAACTACATATGTGAAAAAAGTCATATTAAGCCTTTAGTGGCTCCAGTGTGAGCTGCGTGAAATCTGATGAATAGACCTTTTTCACAGAAGCCATTTTGACAGAAAATAGTGGGGTAAACACATGTGTACTTACGGTTCAGTTCCATTCAGGTCAAACAGAGTCAGGGTGCTCTGCTACACTAAATGGAATGGAACCTTAATTAGTATCATTGGTAACACCTGTGTTTACCCTATTATTATTATTATTAACTCAAGTGATGTCACTTTAGTCAGAGTCAGACTATGAAAATGCTGCTTGAGGCTAGCGTCTCAAGGCCACATCAGCTACTACTAGAATAATAAACCCGAATCTCTGACCAAACTGTTGACAGTTGAGTTTCATTGTGGGTAATTTAGGTGCCAAGTTTTGACAAGGAAGAAGAATTTGTGGAATAAGGAATCTCTGCTTCTGCTGCATCGGTTTTGATCTTTTTGAACTTTCCATGCAGTGCTAAATCTGTGGAGAACTATTTTCACTTTATCCTGTAGACTGTGATTCTTTCCAGAGCAGTACACCCACTGCCAGGGAGGGGTTAAAGGCTAAATCATCCAGTTGAAGTATTGTAACTTGATGGGCAGCAGCTCCACTCCACAAGATGACAATGATACATCTGGTTGGTTTTAGGTAGGTAAAATCCACCTGCCCAGAAGTGGTTATACGACCTATAACTCTACATATATGCACTAATACACCTCTGCTGCTCACCTCTCAATATAAAAGGAAGAATAGTGGCAATGCAAACTAATACTTAAAATACTGAATAAATCAATGCCCAATAGCAAAACGGCATCACTTCAACATTGTAACTTTCATTGGCTTGGTAACTAACTTGAAGAGAAATCCTTTTAAGTTTCCACCAGTTTAATAATGGTGTTTTGTGTCTCATTATTATTATAATCTCATTCGAAATTTACATTTTTCTAACTTCTAACACAACATTTCATCATTGACAGGTTTGTACACCTCAACTGATGCTGCCAAATGCCTTCAAAATGTCTTCATTGGACAACCACAACAAAAATAATTAACTGGGAGGTTACTTCAGGAATCAGCATTCAGGAATCCAAAGAGTAGCATGTGTCAACAGGTAAAAGATCGAAAATGAGTCACCCGACCAAAGGTTTTACATTATGTGATTTTTAATCTCTATCAACCACACAAATCTGAAATGTGAGCGTGCAGCTTTGTGTCTTGCCAGTGCCTACGTTCATGAGATCAAATGAAGCAGACATAATGTCAGTTTCTATGTTGGATGTTAGGACATTCACACGCTTTTATTGCCATTTCCTCACAGACCGTAGAGAAGGAATCTGGATTCTCTGCCAGAATTTGGTTTGAAATCACCCAATGTGATCTGATGCCAGCTGACGTCTATGGCAATAACCAAACCTGTGTATAATGTCTTTCAGTACTTGCTTTTGGCCAAGTCTAAACCTGTTCACACACCTAAAGGCACAGAGGAATGTCATTTAGTCAACCAGCCAACCTGTAGGACACCATGAACCACAAATATGCCTGTATTGTTTAGATTTTATTACTGACACTTCCACTCAAAAAACATTCACCTCAAAATGAAATGCAGATTTTAAAAATTCTATCTAAAGTGTCTGAATTCAGACATTTCCTTCTCTCCAATCTCCCAAACACACTCCTCACCCCTCCTCCTCTAATGAAGAGGCTCCCGGCCTGTTCCCAGTCACTCATCCAGCTCTGCTCTCCTTTGTCTCTGCTGGGGGGGAGACGGGGAGTTGAAGGGTGTAATTGGCCGAGCCGGCTCAGGTGAAAGCAGACCTCTTGTCTGGGGACACAAAACCGTCTCTCTGTGTGTGTCTGCAGCGCTGCAAGGTCAAAAGGACATGCCGTCTTTGGACACACACAGCCCTCTTCACTCATCCTCCAGCCCCCAACAATCACTGCAGCTACCTGGGAAAGGTAATTATTTGCTCTCCTGTCTGTCTTCTAGCTTTCAGGGCACTCATCTGCCAGGTCTGAGAAGAAACAGAGACAGCCCTCTCAGTTCCATGTTGGATACAGTTTTCTGAAAGTTTCTGAGAGGCTTTACATTTTTGGGGGGCTTTGTGAAAAAGCTTGCATGAGTAAAAGGTCTGCGTTAATGTGTCCTGCACAGCTTTGCATCCTGCATGCATTCCAAATGCTGTCTCCATCAACACACATGTTGCTCAGCAGGATGCACATGCCCACACATTGTAAGTCGCTCACCATCAACAGAACATGATGTACAATGTACTGCCAGCTAACAGAGGTGCAGTTTGGCCTGTACAAACATGATCTGCAGGCAGAGCTGCTCAGAGGGCAGAAATAATCCCAGAACCACAGCTGTTTTTAAACTGATGTGAATGACAAAGAAGAGTTTTGCCAGTTAATCAAAATATGTCACGCAAGCATGTTTAGTTTTCAATGACTGAAGACTGTGTCAGTTACCACTCACACTGGTAGCTATTTATCAGGCTATAGGAATGATCCAGACTGAAATATTTCAACAACTATTGGATGGATTGTCATGAAATTTGTAAAACATTCATGGTGCCCAGAGGATGAAGCCTATCAACTTAAGTAATCCTCAGATTTTTCCTGCAGCACCAACAGCAGACCAACGTTTTCATTTGTTCTATGAAATATCTCATGGATTGGCAGAAAATGTATGGTTTCCAGGGAATTAAGCCTAATGACCTTGGTGATCCCAGACTTTTCTGCTAGTGCCACCATGAAGTTGACATTTTGGAGCTTTTTGGAATGAAATGCTTTGACTTTTGGCTCTGACATGAAATTTTAAATGAAACACATTAATATTCCTGTGAGGATTAAATTGAATCATTTTGGTAATCCTGTGATCTTTTTGTCTTGCACCACTGTGTGGTGCCTTGTGTTTAGGCCTATCAAATGTAACTTATTAACACCAAACTAAGATGGTAAACCTGGTAAATAGGCTATTATGTGCTAAACTTTAGCATGCTATTTGCAGGGCAAGACCATTTATTGTTGTGCTTTGAAGGATAATCAGCAGGACATGTGCATATTTGGCCCATCTTCTCTCATTATTACTTTAAGTCTACTCTTTAGTGTTCTTGTCACAACAGGACTTTGCGAGAGGGTGAGAGGCCCTTTTCACAGAGCTGCTGTCACATTAGGTTGGCAGAAAATATGTTGTTGTATGGCTCTGCCCACTCACGCATTACCAGTAAATCTCTGTGGTAACAATTTATTTTATATTTAATACTAAACAATCAGGTGAGAAGAGGAGGTTCAGCAGCAAAAAACATTTTCCCTTCAAAATCACAATGTAATCTGAACCCTAAATTGCAGCCGGATATATCTGACACTTACTAGCCTATCTGATACATACATACTGTTGTCCTCATTACCTGAAACTACGTAGGTAACACACAGTAGTAACTTGATAGAAAGCTTACTGTCAGCAGAGGATTATCTAAATGATTATGACCTGTGCACTGACCATGAAGCCTGTATTTACCGTTGATGCAAAGGAAGAGCAGGTGAACCGTGATGCTATGCAAATGTTATTCAACCGTCTAATTTGTACAAAATTATTAAGAGCAGTGTGGGCTAACTTCCACACACAGCATAAAAGCACAAAGGCAAGCAACCACCAAAAGGTGTTTTTTGTTTGAAACTTTCGTTTACTACTCATGTTCTCGCTCTCTGGTTTCAGTGAAAGGGTTGCTGTAATTTAACTTAGTCATCATAGTCATAGTCACAGTCCAGTTAAGACACCTGGAAATAAAAAAAAAAAGCATATCAACAAACAGAGTTGTTGACCTGACACGCTCAGTCAGGTGTAGACTGAAGAAACTCTGTTTGTCACCCTGAATAGAACCAGACTCAAGATTTCAATATAACACTCACTGTAACACTGCTGATGAAAGTCTCCAAAGGAAAGCCAATGCAAGAACACAGAATATAGCTACTTAGATTAATAAAGAGAAGATGGGGTGAATATGCAGATATATAGCTGATTATGGTTCAACTTTAGTGTTACTGGCAAAAGGCGTTTGTATAATTCAAGTGTAAAGTCACGCTAGTGGCTCTGTGTGAATGTATTAGCAAAGTTCTGAGTTAAATGCTAACATTAGCATGCTAACATGCTCACAGGGACAAAGCTAACATGCTGACGTTTAGCAACTAATATGCACCAGGTTTGCCATCTTAGTGTTAGTTTGCTAAAATGTGCTCATTTTCACCAAACACACAAAGGGGCTGATGGGAATGTCATTAGTTTTCGCAATTTATCCTGAGGGGAACAGGAATGTCTGTACCAAAATTTCATCCAGCAATCCACCCTGTAGCTGGGAAAAGGCTCAAATCTCAGCCTCATGGTAGCATTAACAGAAAAGTCAGAGGATCACCAAAGTCATTAGGATTCATCCCCTGGGGACCATGGATATCTGTACCAAAATGGCAATGCAATTCATCCTATAAGTGTTGAGATATTTCAATCTGGACCAAAATGGTGCACTGACCCACTGACAGACAGGCCGATATTGCCATAGAGCCACACAGGTAGTGATTTATAAATAATTACTTGCTCAAAACAACAGAAAAGCAGCAATAACCCACCTGAATATTTCAGTGGCAGAACTCTTTCCACAGAGATTTATGGTCTGTATGGGTGGCCCCGCTGAAAATTGAACTTGTAAGCATGCCATGAGACACCATATTGACACAGAATACAAAGTGTGTTATACACAATACATCACCCCTTGGCCTCTCAGTCACCCACAGTGTGCACCAGCTTTCTTTAGCTTCTCCATGGCCCGTGACAGAAGGCAAAGAAATGGGGTATTTCAGAAAGCGCTATGTCATTTGACATCCATCAAAGATATTTGAATTTCTCCTGATTGCTACGGTTACGACTTTCTTAAAGTATAAGGTTGGATCATTGTCATTGAAAGCATGGGCCTTGCATTGAAATGGTTCATAGACTGGGTTTCTATCACGTCCCCACACAACAAGTGGTGCAACACCAAGACAGGCATACGCCATTTGATACACACACATGCGGAAATGAACACCATTATGTGTTGAATAATAACCAGAAATGTCAAGCATCATATGTTATGCTTATGCCTGTTACAAAAGCTCCACAATGGGTGTGATTTTGTCCTTTTGTCACGCATCTATCTAGAGTATCCTGGCTTGTTAGAAAAGTTACACAGCTCAGCCACTGAAAGATGAGCTAAGTGGAGCAGCCAAGATGGATGAAGAGCTATCGCTTATGGCCCAAGAGCACAAGGATTGCTCCTAAACAGATCATATAGACATTATGCAGCAACAGCAACTCTATACCTGTTTTAGCACACAATGTTTCTCCACATTACCTCTTTAATGACACACCTATTGTCAGCTATTTTCTTTAAACAGCAACCCACTTGTAATAATATAAGCAGGCTATTTATGGCACAAAGTTAGGCGTCAGGTCCCAGAGTTTATGACTAGGCTACTTGTGTTTCCTGGAATATTGTATAACAGAATAGATTATATATATATTATTAGTAGAGAAGTTATTGACCAGTTGACACAATAATCTCTAGTAAAATTAATTTTAAGCCAACATGAACCAGAAATCCTTAAAATGGTTGAAAATTGAAATTTTAACATCCACGATTGTGAAACTTCATCTGCTGAGGAAGATTATGTGATACATTTGAAAAGCTGCAGAACAGATAGAATAGAATAGATTAACAGCAGTGTTTCCAAAGATGTTTCATGGTTTTTGTCATATCAGCCTTCTCAACTTACTTTATATAGTGCTCGTCTGCAAGAAAGCGTATAAGGATATTTCCCCAAATATTCCTTCCATAATTCAACTTCAACATCAACATACAGTATTTTTTCAGACACATAATCCATAGACCTCTCTGTCACCAGATTTTACATGTGTTATTTCTTTGGTAGATAGTAGTTCTAATGAAAGCTGCTCATAGCAACACTTTAAATATAGCATAATTGCAGAAAGCATCTATTTATAAATTCACTTTTTTTTGTAAATAAAAGTACATGTCATCATGTCCTAGGTCCAAAGGGTTAATTGCAAATAGGATTCAACGGGAAAGCATTTCACAGTTTCTGGAAAGTTGTTCCTGAAATACCTGGTAACAACTGGTTCCAGTAGGAATATGAATAAACGGTTTCACTCGCCTTCTTTGCACTGTCTGTAACCTCCTGATATCTTAATTGCTGTCTTTTCATACTGTTAGCTGTATGTCAGAGCTAACAAGCTATCTGCATCAGTAATGAAGTCACAGTGTGCCCACATTAAGCCTGTTAAATTTATTTTACTTATTTTCCTCTCCGTTTCAGCCCTCTGTCCAGACACACATTTTTCTCCCCACTCACAGTCCAGAGTGTGTACATTTTAAGTTGCAGAGGAGGGCAGCAAACGGAGTCGTAACAGGCAGTTTAAGCTATTGTGTGTAGACAAGGGCTGTGCGGCAACAAATCAAGAAGACAAATTTCTTTTGTCTCTAATTGTTTCTGTATAGCCAATCATACAGCAGAACTGTCGCCATTAACCTGTTTTTATGATTTGGTCTTTCCTACTCCTCACCAGATGTTGCACAGTTTTGTTGTTTTCCAGCTGAAAAGAGGGCGAAGGAGGAGAGATTTGAAGATGTTTCATGTTCATGTTTTTCTGGGGTTTCACTGTAGATAACGACTAGAAAACACAGATGTGCACACAAACTGTTTTCACACAAAAACTGCATTTTAGACTGATGTGAGACTAGTCCAGACAAAACATGCAAGAGTAAAAACATTAGGTAGATCCACGATCATCTTACTATTGGTCTTGTTGTTTAAGTCTTGCTTGGATAGCTTTCACCCACTACTAAGTTAAAACGGGCCCTGCTCTTGACCACA